TATATATATATATATATGTATATATATATACATATATATATATATATACACACACACACACACACATATAATATTTTTAAAATAAAAAAAATGTAATATAGACATATAAATATGACTATAATTTACAGTAGAAAAATAATTTATTACAATTAATAAAAAAAGTAATAAATAAATTTTATTATATACTTCTAAATTTAAAAAACTCTTTTACTAATTATAAAGCATACTCAAATTCTTAATTTTTGTTACCTAACTCATATTCAACACTTAAAATTTTTTAGCCTCATGAAAGAAACTTAACACTTCAATATTTATATAGGAAAAAAATAACTCTTCAACTTGAGCTTCCAAGTGGAGAGGTGATGGGCAGATTCTAAATTAGTTTGATTAAACTCATATTAATTATTAGATTTAAGATTTTTAAATTCATAACTATATGTTTGTCAATATATTTAATAGAATTAAAATTAAATGAAACATGAGCCATTTAGTTATGAATTAAAGGTAATTAAATATATAATATGAAAAAATCAATTTTATCTAATTGGGACTGTTCATTGGTTCAACCGATAATTCACATTTTTTTCATCCATTGAAGTTACTAGACACAATTTACAATTCAACTAAGTGAACCGTCCAGTCCGGTTCAGTTTGACTTTTTCAATCTTGTATATAAGGATATAAACTTTTTAAATAATCAAAATTTAAATGCTTAAATGTCACACCAAAAATAAAAAAACAATGCCAAAAAGGCTCTAAACTATCAATTTAATAATTTGTCCAACTTTTTTCATCACTTTTTTTAATAATCATGTAATTTTAAGTATATGTATGATAAAAAATTAACTCAAATCTGCTCACATAATTCAATTCAGGGAAAAAATTTGCATACGTAAGACGTACGCAGCACTGCGTACATAGTAGAGGTTATATGAGCGTTTTATCGGCATTATATTCACCTTATATCCCTTGTAACCTCCATGTAACCTCTATATAACCTACATGTAACCTACTTGAATTTATAAATAAGTTCCGCGTTTCTATTTTCACATATCTGTAGGTTACATATAAGTTATATAAAAATTATATGAATGTTACAAGAGATATAACACAAATATATGAATATAATGCACTTATAACACCCGTATAAAAATATAAGTAAGCAATTTTTTTCCAAATCGAGACGATCGAAATCCAACCGTCAACTTCTCCACGTGTGTCCAAACCCTATCAAGCATGCCCAAACCCTCCTAAAACCCCCAAGCGGCCCACCCCCTGCCAATACGCTTATTTAGCACCGCTTCCATTCACCGTGGTTCTCCCTGCTCCTCCTTGTCCGGCGTCTTCGCAAAACTAAAGCTGAAGAACTTACCTTTCTCTTCAACTCAACTACTTCTCGTTTATCATCGAGAATATTCCGGCGGTCGGACGTTCTCAGCTCGTCCGGCGAGGTCGGGTACCCGAGACACCAGGCGTGGGCAACTCCGACCGGGAAGTGTCTCAGGGCAGAGTAAGAGCCTCATTGAAGACGAGGAGGAGCTCAGCGATTGGATCAGCGACCTCAAGGCCGACTCTTTTCGTACTAGGCATAGCAGCGAGGACGAGTTTTCTGGTCGTAGTCGGGGTAAACAGGAAATTATGGATAGGGATAGAAATTGGTTAAAGAGTAAAGGGCAGGGGAGGGATTCTCGGTCTGCGGTTCATGGTCGGCCCTCTTCAAGGAGGAACAGGGATAGTGATTCCGATGGGTATTCATCTCGTAGTCAGAGAGCTTCATCCTTGAGGAGGCGAATTGATAGTGATGATGATGCAGATGATTTCCGTAGCGGGATTGGGAATGGGCGGGGAAATCGACCTTGGGTCTCTAAAAATTCCAGAAAAGGACTTGGTGATCGACACGGGGCTTCTTCTTCTTTCAATAAGAGAGGCGGGGGTGATTTAGAAATTGGCGGTAGAGTAGGCGAACGCATGAGAAGTCCAATTCTTGCTGTACAGAGTGAGGAGGAGGAGGAGGACAGTGATGATGATATGTCTGATGCTGATAATGATTTTTTCGGTGACAAGGAAGACAGGAAGGATAGTGTTGCAAATGGTGCCTTTGAGAAGGGCGGTTCTCTTACGTCCAGTGACGGCGATATTGTAAAAGCAATACCAAAAACTTCTGTGCCGGCTGGTGATTCTTACTTGACTGAGTCGAGGTATGTTTCTCTTCTAAGTTCGATGTTTGAAATCTATGTAGCTGATAAGATGCTATGCCGATTGCTTTATGTTCCAAAAAACTTCATACCGTTCTTTCTGAGTGAAGCTAAGATTATCTGAGTTGCTAGAAGCTGATTGTTTTGATTTAAGATGCACAACAAAAATTTTAGAAATTTTGTGTAGTTTTTAGTAAAAATTGATTCATACAGTTTCAAATAGCCACTTAGTTTTAATATGAAAGTAAGGGTTGATAGATTTTCGTGGCCCTTAGGATGTCTTATGTTGCAGTGGCTAAACCTACATTGAAAATGCATCTTCTGATCGCTTACATGTTTTCAATTGAAATGATGAAGCATTAACTTATTTAATGCATGGTTTGAGCAAGTTATAATAATTTATGTTAATGAAACTAGTTTAATTTATGCGCAACCACGTGCAACATTGCAAATTTTTCATTAGTTTAAAAGCCTTTTTTTTGCTGAGATTTATCTTTACTCCATTTTATAGAAATGCATGTGCAAACCATCTCAAAACGTTTCTGACTGCCTTGAATAGTTTTTGATTTTCAAAGTACTTCTTGAGCATTATTGGTTGCTAATGTTTTGAGTTTTTTATGTAGTGCTTACCTTTTTTTTTGCTGTATCTCATTTCCAATAAATTAGTTTAATTAGGAAAAAAAATGAGAAGACGAAAACAATAGTGATATAAGCCATGTAAAGGGATTTGTGAAATATATATTTAGTACTTGAAAGAAATGCTAATAGAAATGAATGGAGAATGAATATTGGTAGCACTGAGCCCAAATGGCTGGAGGTATGGCTATACGAATGGCTTCTACAATCTATATTACGTATACCACTACTAAAAAATATTTGTTATTCTACTTGGAGAAAATCCTAACATTTGATATAGCTTTGGATTCTTCTAAATCCTCTCCCTTTGTATAGCATTCTGAAAGATGACATGATTCATTGTAAATTTTGTTAGAAGGGTTAATTGGAAAATTTTCAATTATGTCACTTTTGGGTGTCTTTCAAAGGAAAAAATGCAATAGATGCATTTGTAAAGTAATGCATAAACAATTAAAATATTATGTTTGAAATTTTTGCATAAAATTTTGTTCTCTAGAAATTATAGCATTTGGAGAAGCTTTATAATGAAGTCAAGCAAAATTTAGTAACAAAATAGAGAAGATTGGATATTCTTGAGAGGAGCAATACCTCTTATACTTCTATTTAAATTACTAAATATGCCCAACAAGCAAATAAACACTCATTTCAACAAGTTAAATTTAAATTTAATATGATCTTAATTAAAAATCTTGATAAAAACAAATATTCTGGCCTTGTAGTTTAAATTCATGTCAATAAACAATCAAAACTATATATTCAACTTCAAATTTAAAAAATTAACAAAAAGTAAATATATGTGTGCTTTTAAAATAAGTTTGTTTACTATGTCAATGAATGAATAAATTTGTACTATCTTAACTTTATGTTTCATATTTAGCTCAAATAACATAAATTTGTAGCATTCTTTTGACAATGTATCTTTAAAATACTTTTAACTATGATAAATTCATTAACAATTTTTATACAAAGCATCTCTTTTATATTTCAAAGTATAATATTTTTTTTACAGTAACAATATATTTTAATTTCTAAGATTATTTGTTTAAAACTTATTATAATTTGATGTTTTTTTGTTTAAAGAGAAATAGTTTTTTTTACACATGCAAACAAGGACGTTAGTTTGCTCTTTTTTACAAATAAGAACAACTGATATTGTCATTCATGCCAGGGTTTTTTAAACCGTTGGCCTTACCACTAAAGTTCTTGGCAACCCTGATGCTATTACTAGTTTAATATATAGTTTATAGACCAATGTTTCATAACAAATTGTAACAGTAATAAGAGGATGTCAAAACTATAAGCATGTAGGGCTGGGTTTCAAGAAACCTCAACATGTATGTTGGTGTCAATTGCCATTGTTTACAAAATAGTATAAATTCTTGTTTTGTTTGAAAAATTTTAAAACTATAGACTTTTTAATAGAAGAATCAAACTATGAGAAGCTTTATTTTTTTGTTATTCATTTGAAAGTTGTTTTTATAATAATGCAATTAAGCTGCATATACTTTATGCTTTGGATATACCCTTAATTTCTTATTCAGTTTAAGAAATTTTACCGTTGAATCATTCACTATCTTCATTTTTTTGTTACATTTAATGAATTTTGTTAATTAATTTTATAATTTCAATGCTTGCCAGACATTTTAAACCTTAATCACTCTTTTATCCAATCTTAATAAAGTTTACTATCAAGCACTGGCTTGGGCCACCTCATAGATTATTGATGTGATGCGTTCTGCTCCCACCACTATTGAGTGAGTGGTTCTGAGAAGTGTTACTATAATGTTTGTCAACGCTTTCATTTTTGCTGTTCTAGAGACCTTTTTTTAGGCTTTCTTAAGACTTTTAAATAGTATCATTTCATGTTATCTTGACATTTTTACCCTTAAATATGTACTTTTTTGTTTCCTGCTCTTTTAGTACATATGCTATCTTTTCTCGTCTATGTTGCATCATTTTGCCTTCTTCAGATCGAATCTATAGTTTGAGTCATCAAAAGATCAGCAGTTATGCTTTCCTAACCAGTTTTGACTTGATCTGAGTTCTTTGTAATTGAGGCAAACTAATTGGCATTGTTCTATAAATTTTAAGCTTCTTTTGGAATTATTAATCGAACCACGATATTATATAGGGTTTTATACCCCTAAGGATTTTCTTACATTTGTCATTTATATTAAAATTGGGTACCTTTTTTTTCCATAAAACAGATTTGATCAATTTTCCCTTTCTCCACTGTCACTGAAAGGAGTAAAAGCCGCTGGTTACGAAAGGATGACTCTTGTGCAGGAGGCAACTCTTCCAGTAATACTCAAGGGTTAGATGCTTCTTAACAATTTACTATGTTCTTTCAGTTTCTTCTCCAACTGAGCTTGAATTTCTTAATATTAGATGGTAGGATCAAATAAGCTTCCCCACTAAGTAACTCTTGGTTTTTTGTATTTAAGTTGCAAGTGATACATGCTTATTATGCTTCGTCGATTCTTTAGTTGTACTAAATCAGTATTTTTAGTGTCTAAATTACTTCGGAATTACCATAAATATCGTAGTCAAATCCAAATTATGCTATGATATCCAATGCATGTCAATCTAGGGTATTGATTTTCTTGTGGATCTCGAACTAACTGATGATAAGCAATGTGAATTGTAAAGGAGAAACATGTAATGCCATTGACATCTAAAATGAAGATATGCAACAACCTAATGCAAAACAAAGAAAAATAAGTGGTAATGATTTATTGAGAAAACCAGTTGACACTACAGCAATTATTTGCTTCCTTAGATTTTTCATAGTAAACTATGCACTTCAAACCTCAATCAATCCTTTGCAGTCTCCTAATAAATTAGTCATAGAGATTTCGGATCATATTTAAGGATAAAAGACAGTTAAATAGTAGAAATGAGTTTCTTGTTTCTCTTTTAATTTGTAAAGGGGAAAGTAAAGAGGGAGAAAACCAGATATCAATTCTCACTTTTGAATAATGGACATCATATTTGGAAAAGAATCGGGCTCATAACATCCTAGAGAAATTATTCTTCCTCAAAATCCAAAGTATCTACAACAATTCTAATTCTATATCTATAAGAAAATAAGGTGTAGTAGAAATATCATAAATATCACCAAATGGTAATGGGCTATTCTTTTCCAAGATTAAACTAGAAGAACTAAGGTCATACCAAGTGCTGCTGCTTTAAAAATAAATTCGTTAGCTTGTCTATGAAAGCTTACTGTTAGTGTAGGATAAGATTAAAATAGAGAATTTTTTAATATTTGCAGAATAGTGTATGTTATTTGGACGTACACTAGAGCATTGCATTTATTTTTGTATTGCTAAGTAGGGTCTAGTGAATAAGTTGCCAAAATAACATTGTATCAGAATGAGGTTAATCCTTAGCATTCCTTACCCCCTCCTATTCTTCCTTTAGATTCAGTGTCCATTATAACTGACCTCCTATGTTCGCACATATTCACATCCTCTTTCTTACAATTCTTACCATGTGCCTTTTCTTGGGAACCTTCATGCAGCCTTATCCATACCTTCTCTTGTAATGCTCTTCCTTGTAGACTTCTTGTCATCCACTCAGGCCCAACACTAACCTCTCATGAAGTGCGTGATCTAGAGTGAACACACAATAAGGTCCTCATTTCCGATCTCACCCCACACACTATTTTAACCTTGCCTTTGCCTAAATAATTTTCTTATCAGTTCTTTTCTTGTGGTAGTTAGTGTGCGCTAATGTTTTTTCCTATTAGTCTCAAAGATTAAACCTTCAACCACTATTGTGCTTTCTAAAAAGGTGAAAGACAAATTATTGTTCATACCATTAACCAATATAGATCTAGGACTCTTACAATAATTTGTGCTTTAGCTCTCATGGGATATCTCCATTTTATCACATTCCTTGATGATTGTTCAAGGGTCGTTTTGGTCTACTTGCTGAAATGTCACTTATAGATCTTTAAATATATATATATTTTTTCAATTTAATCAAAATTTTTTGTGCTGATGATTCTTTAGAATTATGTGGTCTTAACTTCACATTTTTTCTATTGATGGTACTTTTCATCAAACTTATTGTCATTACACATTAGAATGGTGTTGTTGAGTATAAAAATTTGAAAAATTTACACAACACACAATTTTTCTGTATTTATATATTTAACACCTAAAGTTTGATATTTACATTTATAATATATTGATGTTCTAAATTTATGCATGAAAAAGGATATTTCACTTTTAAAAATATTTTAATATTGGTATTGGTATTATTGATTTAATATTAAAGATTTGAGTGCTATCCATGTAATATGAAAGTTTAGGGGTTAAATATGTGAATGCATAAGAATTGTGTAGAATGTATCTAAATGCCACTCACATATTTTCTTCCTATTAATATTTCAAGGACAATAATATTTCATATGAATGCCCCCTTCACTTTTAAGGAAGACAATCTTGATAGCTTGCCATGTTATTAATTGTGCCGCTTCTCCTCTCTTCAATAATCTTTTACCCATCTCCACTAATTCTCGTGTCTAACTTGTTTTTTCTTATGCATTTTAGATATTTGGTTGTATTTATGTTGTTCATATTTTTCTCTCATGAAATGCTCTTTTTGATGCCATTAATGTAATTTTCTTAGTTATTATTGGAAAAAAAAAGGTTTATATTTATTATTGTTATTATTATTATTATTAGTATTATTATTGTAGAAAAGAAATAGATGCCATGAACTAATTTGATTTTTTTGAAAAGGTTTTAGATTTTAAGATCTTACTCGATGCTTATTCATTTAGGCAAATATTATTTTCTATGAGAGTACATTATTCTTTTCTCCTTCTAAGCTAATTTTACAACTTGTTTCTCAACTTGTTTCTCTTCTTTAAGAAGTTGATATACCTACCTATACTCTTCTAAACGTTTACTTTTGCTGGCTTTGATCACTCTAACGACAACCCCTCCATCAACATTGACATATATGAGTAAGAGTCCGCCTAGAATGCCATTCTAAAAAGGTGAAAGACAAATTATTGTTCATACCATTAACTTATATATTGTTTGATTATTTATATTTATAATCTATATTCTTTCCCAAGCATTAAGAAACAATATATTTCCTCCATGAAAATAAGATGTGGATGCGAGATAGGTGCCCTACATATTTTTCATACATACCATTTTGTTCTTCTTTTTGGGTGTAAACCTATTACCTGTGGATAGATTTTCACTAATAAAATCTTTTTCATAAAAGCCTGTCGGCCGTTTTTTTTTTAACCTTCGCGGTTTGAAAAAGTGATGATTTTATAATTTTGAAAATAATTTAAATATAAATATAACCTTTTTGATTTTTTTTAAATGTAACATTTTAATTTTAAAATAGGTGAGACCAAACGGGTCTCACATTTTAAATAGTTTAGATGATTGAATACAATACTACAAGTAATACACTTATCCCGAATAAATAAATGTATCACTTGTAATAGGGATTCAATCACCTAGACTAAAGAATTTGAGACATCCGTTTTAGTCTGCGAAATATTTTATAAAAAGGCCAACAAGTTCCCCTACCTAACATAAAAATTAAATAGGGTTTATTTTATCTGGGTTTCATGTTCCCTATAGAGGCAAACCCCTATTGTTAATTACATCTTAAATGACTGGAGGTCACTTAAAGAAAACTCTCGATTAAGATCAGGTGGTTTTGCTTTCAAGATTTCAAAGTTTAGGTTTTCACGATTGGACATGGGAAAATCAAATGAGAATGGCTCAAAATAGGAACAGTTATTTAATGAATCCAAAGGGAAGGAAAGTAGGGGATATCACAGATCTGGGGAAAACCCCGGTGAACTCCCAACTATCATAATGTTCGGCTTTATGTCTTTGAAGTGATGATTATTTGATATTTCAATCCTGCAAATTATTTAGGATTTAAGACTTATGTTTACACAATATCGGACTGTGCAAATAACCTAAAAAGATGGGAGGATTTACACCGTACCGCACGGTAACCTCGGAATCCTAAAGCGTTAGGATTTATAATTGTACAACAGAGTTTTGCGAAAAGCCTAAAGGGTGATCCTATGGGTTGTTATTTAAACTAAAGAAAGGTGATAGGTGATATGAATATGTTTATGTGATGTGTTTTGATGTTTAACTGCTGCAGATCCACCTTGAAGTTGTTCCTCGTCGTGCTGTCCACGGTATTCGCTCCAAACGCTTCGTAGTAGCATCTCCTGGTTCAGTTTTAGTTTTGAACATGCTCCTAACCACTAGGTTATTCTATACTAAGACATAACATATCAAAGTAACTAAGCATGCAGTGTGAAAGAAAAGTAACAATGTACTGTACAGTAAAAAGGAAAGACAATATAACATGCTGAAAGAAGAGTATAACATGCTATAAAGAGTAGTATAACAAGATATAAAAACAATATAACACGTTGAGAAAATAAAATGCTGTAGTATAAATTAAACCTGTACACCTGGTAGGTTCATTGCTCCTTTAAGTTTAACTATTATGCGCTGTATAAAAGAGGAAAGTATGACCTCAAAAAGACTTAACAGAAACAGGTAAATCGTAGGAAAAAGACAAACAAATAAAATGAAATACAATATCACATATAAAAGACCAAGAATAAGAAATTTATATGTGATATTGGAATGTCCCCAATTGCCAGGAGGATTTGAGTGTAAGACAAACTCAAATTCCGGAGCATTGGGTTTCGGTTTTGGTCAAGTTAAGGTAAAAATTTCATTATTTGATCTAATTAAATCAGTCATGAATCACAATCTAGTGCACCCTCGTACTAGTGTCCTAGTTATCTCATGAACTGGGGTCAGATGTCTGGCATCTTAGGATCATTTAAAAATTAGGATGATAAACTCTCTCTTAAGGTGTGCTCCTAAGACCTAGGAAACATACACTTTAGTTTATTTGAAGTGTCTTAAGTGTCTAACCTCAACTAAGTGCCTTTCAACTAATCCTCAAACATCTTTAGATTAAGCTTAGCTCACCATCAGACTCCTAAAACCTAAGGGGTGAACCTATAGTTCTGGCAAAAGAGTTGTGAAGTGTGCTTCAAATCTAATTAGAACAATTAGATGTAGGTTTATTCCAAACTTAAAGGACCTAAGTGCAGGTCTACTAATCTTTCCAATCCATGTCAATTGTTATCTAAACTCTCACTAAACTCTCACTTTCTTCTAACCCCTAAATATTCTTCCAATTTACAGTTTTATCCTTCATATGCAAAAAGGAACGGTAGGTGGTTCGCTATTCTATCCCCCTTTAGGTTTTTATTTTTAAATTTTCTCTCCC